GGAGGAAAGGCATACAAGAACACCAGTTCCCAGCTCAAGTGCAAAGCAACAGTCCAGGAGCTCAGGACTGAGACCCCCGTCAGCTTGCATTTCTTGTTTGTTCTCATGCCAAACAGATGAATTGTCAGAATGCCCCAGACTGAAAAGACAGATGGCAGGACATTGGGCTCCAGAGACCATTTGGGATTCTGAGAGAAGCTCCGGCTGAGGTAAGCTGTCTGGCGATTATGGATCTGAGAAAAGAGATTGGCCCTGAGGGCAATGTACTCCCTGATGCAAAACTAGCAGACTCTTGATGGCCTCCTGACAAAGCATGTTGGAGTGAGCTTCCCCCCTGCCTGTTCACATAATACATGGTGATGGTACTGTCGTGAGTATGAGAACCACTGAGCCCCAATGTGATCTTGGAAGGTCTGACAAACACTGCAGATGCCATGAAGCTCCAGACTACTGATATGTAGAAAAGCTTCCTGTTCCGACCACAGGCCTTGAACCTTCAGCGAATCCAGCACTCCCCAGTTTATTAAGGAGGCATCAGTGACAACTGTTCTGGCTGGTGGAGAGAGTGAAGAGAATGCCCTGGCACACATTGACCTGAACCATCCACTACCAAGATTGGTGGAGGAAGACAGACCAGTCTGCCCAAGGGATGACAGTGCTGACAACAGATCGACAACTTCAGTCACATTTGAAGAGGACTAAGGTGCAGCATGGCATATTGGACTACCTGTGGACACAAAGCCATAGCCAAGGCCTAGCAACCTCAGTCATACTCAGACTGCAGTTGAGGATTGGGACTGCATGTCCAGAGTAAGCGGCAAACTGCCTGGAATCATTTAGTCAGTAGAAATGCCCTTGAATTCACAGAGTCTATCACAGGGGTGGGCAAACTTTTTGGCCCAAGGGCCACACTGGGGTGCAAAACTGTACAGAGGGCCAGGTAGGGAAGGCTATGCCCCCCAAACAGCCTGGCCCCCATCCCCTATTCACCCCTTCCCACCCCCGACCACCCTCCTCAGAAGCCCTGACCCATCCAACAACCCCCCACTCCTCGTCTTCTGACTGCCCCCTCCCAGGACCCCCCACCCCAAACCACCACCACCCCAGGACCCCACCCCCTATCCAACTCCCCTGCTCCCTATCCCCTGACTGCCCCCCTGACCCCTATCCACACCCCTGCCCACTGACAGACCCCCCAGGACTCCCACGCCCTATCCAAACCCCCCTGTTCCCCATCCCGACTGCCCCATGGGACCCCCTACCCCTTATCCAACTCTTCCCCCGCCCCCTTACCATGCCACTCAGAACAGCAGGAGCTCGCAGCCCCGCTGCCTGGACAGAGCCAGCCACACTACCTGCGCAGCAAGCTAAGGCTGCAGGGGAGGGGCTACAGTGGGGAACAGGCTGGGGGCTAGCCTCCCCAGCCAGGAGCTCAAGCGCCAGGCAGGACAGTCCCACGGGCCGGATGTGGCCCGCGAGCCGTAGTTTGCCCACCTCTGGTTTACCAGGTCCACAACAAACTTAATTCTTTGAGATGGAACCAATATTGATTTCCCACTGTTAAGGATGGGATCCAGATGATTGAGTGGGTGTACAGTGAACTGGACATAACAGACGACTTGCCCACTCAGTAAGCAATCATCCAGAAACAGGAAGATATGAATTTACCTCTTCCTGAGATACACGGTCACTCGCCATTACCATGCATTTGGTAAAGAGCAGGGGGGTAGAAGACAGGCTGAAGGGCAGCATGATGTACTACTAGTGTCGGCCCACCACAACAAGCCAGAGAAACCTCCTATGGCTTGGGAGAATTGCTACATGAAAATAAATGTCCTGAAGGTCTAGGGCTGAGAACCAGTCACTGATTTAAGGCAAGGAGTATAGTTGCCAGGGCAACCATCTGGAAACTCATATCTGACGTATTTGTTGAGGTGGTGAGGATAGGTCTCATCCCTCCCTTGGGCTTGGGAATAAGGAAATACTGGGAGTAGAATCCCTGTCCCCGATGCTGCAGGGGGACCGCCTCCACAGCCCCAAGGCCAGTAGAGACTGAATCTGCTTGAGAAGCAGTCTCTCATGAGAGGGGTCCCTGAGGAGGGACAGGGTGGAGGGATGGAGAGGAACTGTACGACATTACTGGGTCTGAAGCATGTCTGATCAGGTTGTCTGTTGTAATCAAATCCCAACCACTGTAAAAGCAAGCCGGTCTGTCCCCAAACAAGGGGGCTGGTGAAAGAGGTTACCACTGGATCACTGTCCTGGACACACAACTAAAAACAGGTGCTTGCTAGATCCTAACATAGGGGTGTCAGGGAGTGGGGGGGGCACAAGAAGGAAGAAGACATGCGCCAGCTGGCTGAACCCCAGAACCAAAGGACCTCCTTCTTTGGGACCTGTGGATCTTTCTGCAGTAGTCCTGCTGCTGCACAGGAAGGGAGGACTGTCTCAAAAAACAACCTGAGCAGAATTGCTGTGGCTGCTGACCGCTAAACACCAAATATCAGAGTTAGCCTCAGAATCATCCTGGAAGGGGATTATGCTGCATCATGCTGCGGGCAATCTCCATAATTGGAGAACAGCACCTCCATAGAGTTTAATTCCCTTTGGGGACAAGTTCAGAGCAGGACGGCTTGCCAGCCAACTAGTTGCTGCCTCTACTAAGTGAGTAAATCAATGCGTCTTCTATTGTGCTCTAAAAAAGAGAAGCCATATCCTCTCTGCATTGCTCCAGAATATTCCTATCAGTAGGGACAAGTGGTCACTTAAGAGAGCAGTACCCTTGGCTGTTAAGGACTTGAATAGGAGGTCCAGGATCTTTAATTTTATCTTGTGTTGGTCCCATTACGTAACGGGATGGCTGAATGAACAAGTTCTTGTCTAGTTGATTTACTGCTAGTAGGCTGACACTTTTAGTCTACTTATGTAGGCAGTAATTAACAAGAACATAGCTTCTGTATTTCACAAAAATTGAACCCAGGAAGTTTAGAAAGGACAGTTATTTTGATTAACTATTATTGATGCCGATTGGAAACGTGTTTACATCACAGTATTTTCTTTAAGACACATTCGTGATGTCATTTGTAACAGTAATTCAACAAGATGTTTGATTTGGTATTTCTAAGCTTAATGCCAATGGTAATTAAACTTAAAAATATATTTCACAGTTTATTTATGGTGATAAGTTCTTCTTGAAATTTCAATTCTGTATTCCAGTTCCAGCAACATGCAGTTTTGTTCGCTGAAAGTCATCATGATCCGACACACCAAATGAACGCATTTCGAAAAAAGAAGTAGTATGTTAGTCATAACCCTACAGTCCCTGGATCTTTAAGTCACCTCAATCAAATAGGCTGAACACAGAAATAGAAAAGATACAAGAAATCTTTTTAAAGACTGTTCCTCTTATGCTGAACATGCAGACTATTACGCTAGCAATAGGGAGAGAAGCCTGTGGAGGATGCCCTAAACCACTGGTTCTCAAGCCATAGACTGTCTGCAGCCCAATTAGCACACAGCTGCAGTCCAGCTGTACGCTGAACAAAAAAACAATTCAAAGTCTGCTGCTCTGGTCTGGAAGGGGGTGGGGCCGGCTGAGGAGAAGACCACATCAGGCAGCCCTGCTGGAGCACGCCTCCCATCAGTGGGCCAGTGAGTGCCACAGGGAACAGGAGTAAGTTTCTGGGGAGGTTTGTGGGGGGGCTCTGGGCAGCATAGGCAAGAGAACTAGGGGTATGCAGGGGTGCTGCAACACCCCTAGATTTTACATGGGGATCAGCTCCTGGCCCTGCTCTGTGAAGGGGGTCTCTGGGAGGGGGGCACTGTGCATAGGGGTTTGTGGGGGAATTTGGGGAGGTGGCCCACTGTGGTTCTCAATACGTGGCCCACAATAATAAACAGGTTGAGAACCACTGCCCTAAACTGACTTTTCAGAAACATTTAGCATTAAGATTGCACAACCTCTGGATACCATCAGCTCAGTAATCTGTTCACACATTCTGAAAGTTTACAATGTAATAATATCCATTTAAAACATTCCACCCTACTTCCAAGTATCAGTGCAAGTATATTATGAGAAACCCAACTGATTTTAAAATACCAAAATATTTAAGAAATTAAAACCTCATCTATACTTCCGTACAGTGCTGAATTTGTACTACATGGCAACGTAATCCTAGTAACCCTCTGTATAGTTCTAAGTAAGACTTCATACACAATTCCTCTGTCTACAACACACTCCTAAGTATGCAAGCTGATTGGTTCCGTTAGTGCCATCCTGTACTGTCTAGAAAAGTACTGTAGCATCCCCCGTGAAATTTCACTCCCAAGAGCAGTTGTCATTTCCCTTCGGTCCTCTACTGCTTCCACCTCCCACTCCTGCCACAGTCTTTCATATATTTTTTACATTAAACATTTATGCTGCATGCTCCTTTTTCTTCTCTTTCTCCTCACGTATCACAATATACTATCTCTGAAAAAAATATACCTCAATTTAAACCAATGTAGGGTTAATACTCAACCTTTTAATTATCCCCACACTTGAGAAAACAAAAAATAATTAAACATAGCATAAAATAGAAAACAATACATAAGCCGTGTTGGAAATCTCGTATCCATCTTAATTAAGCTGAGCACAAAAAGGAGCCCATCTGTAAGCACTCTTCAGAAAGAAAACCATTTAAGAACTATAGGCAAGAACCCAGACTTCAGTAATATTTTATTAAATAATTTATGCATAGTATTTTGGTAACAAATACTTTAGATACTAGCATCCTGTAACAGTTTTTCATCTGCTAAAAAACCTGCTCAAGTTGTTAGAAAATAATACTATTGTTTTTCCATATTTGACTGGCATGAAAATTATTCTAAGTATCAACACAGTTTATTTTCAGTTCTGATATGACTGCAGATGACTCTTCTAGAGTTTCCATGTCAGTCATATTCCAGGAGCTAAACAGGATTAAATTTTTGTGCTGCATACATAAGAATATCCACAATACCTGTATCTGCTTCAGTAGTTTGGATATCTGTTTGCAGTTTAATTTCTGACAGGCTTGTTTGTAGGCAATGATAATTTCCTCAACAGTCACATTCTGGGCTGAAAACGTAAAGGGTAGAGATTAAGATTACATTGACACTCATATTTATTCAAACTCAGATACACAATAAACTGTGTGTCAGGCACTTACGTTGACGAAAGTGTGAGAGTTGTGTATAATTAACTAATGCTGTTCCCACCCAGAACCATTTCAAATGGCAAGGATATGAAATAGGCAATTTATGTTCAAAGCAAAATGAGAATTTAATTTGATATTTTACTGTAAGAGTTGAACAACTACATTACCAAAATGTATATATTGATCCTACACATTTTGTCTGTGCACTATATCGTGTTTGTGGACTTTGTTTTCTGTGTGGCTTTTTACCCATTTTATTCAGGGGGTCTCAAAGTCCCGGCCCGTGGACCATCTGTGGCCAGAGAGCCTCCCCACTGCACCATCTGTGGCCAGAGCACCTCCCCACTGCAGCCCGCGGAGGAGATGCTGCCAGCAATGTTGGCTGCAGGCGCCGCCCCCCGCAGCTCCCATTGGCTGGGGGAGATGGGCAGAGATACCATCACTAGTTCCCGGGCAGAGTCAGCCATGGAGACAGTGTAACTTTTTTCCATAATCATAGAATATCAGGGTTGGAAGGGACCCCAGAAGGTCATCTAGTCCAACCCCCTGCTCGAAGCAGGACCAATTCCCAGTTAAATCATCCCAGCCAGGGCTTTGTCAAGCCTTAAAAACCTCTAAGGAAGGAGATTCTACCACCTCCCCAGGTAACGCATTCCAGTGTTTCACCACCCTCTTAGTGAAAAAGTTTTTCCTAATATCCAATCTAAACCTCCCCCACTGCAACTTGAGACCATTACTCCTCGTTCTGTCATCTGCTACCATTGAGAACAGTCTAGAGCCATCCTCTTTGGAACCCCCTTTCAGGTAGTTGAAAGCAGCTATCAAATCCCCCCTCATTCTTCTCTTCTGCAGGCTAAACAATCCCAGTTCCCTCAGCCTCCCCTCATAACTCATGTGTTCCAGTCCCCTAATCATTTTTGTTGCCCTTCGCTGGACTCTCTCCAATTTATCCACATCCTTCTTGTAGTGTGGGGCCCAAAACTGGACACAGTACTCCAGATGAGGCCTCACCAGTGCCGAATAGAGGGGAACGATCACGTCCCTCGATCTGCTCGCTATGCCCCTACTTATACATCCCAAAATGCCATTGGCCTTCTTGGCAACAAGGGCACACTGCTGACTAATGAATATAAACAAGTCAAAATACCAAACAACTATCTGATGTCCACCTTGCTGCAATCCTGAATGTTTCACCTGCTCAGTCACTGAGGCCAAACATCAACAAACTGACAGAACTGAAGCACTGCCAGGTGTCTGGCAAACCCTAAAAACTCTCTGGCAGGAGAAGAATTGTATAAAGTTGTATGACAGTTTTATTATTTCTAAGAAATTCGAAATAAAAAATACAATATAAACATTTTCTTTTCTGAACACCATATTCAGTGATATTATTGGCCCGCTTGGAGGATTTGAGGACTGGCATTGGCCCTAAGGTAAATTGAGTTTGAGACCCCTGATTTTATTGCTTTAAAAATATCTCAACATAAAATCAAGAGCATGATATATACAGTTTTAATTCACACTGCCACCAACTGATATACATTTAGCAAAATATTGAGATAAAAAGGAAATTATTTAAGGCTGCTAGGCTAAGAAGTCTAACAAATAATGCATTGAACCAAAATACAGGAAAGATTTTAGAAGCCCCTTCCAACAGCAAACTAATGAAACTAGATTTGCAGAAATCTAAAAATAGATTTGCAAGGACTTCATAAATTTCACTTCTTACGATCCTATAGTATGACCTCCTGCATAACACAGGCCAGAGAATTGCATCCAGTGATTTCTTCTTATGAATAGTCTTTAATGTCAGAAGTTAAGTTTAGAATGGACCATCATGATCATCTAGTTTGACCTCCTGCACATTGCAGGACAGAGAACCTCACCCACCCACTCCTGTAATGGACACCAGTAACTCTGCCAGAGGTTAGAAGTCCTCAGATCATAATTTAAATGACAGAAAATCTGCCATTTACACTAGTTTAAACCGGCAAGTGACCCATGCCCCATGCTGCAGAGGAAGGCATGAAACCTTGTGGTTAAATTGGAGCTTATTTTAGAAACAGATGTAATCTTTAATGATTTCAAGTGATGGAGAATCAAAAGCATCCTTAGGTGACATTTCCAATGATTAGTTATCCTTACTATTAAAAATGTGCATCTTGTTTTCATTTTGAATTTTTCTGACTACAGCTCCTATTGATCAGATCTAGTTACGCTTTTGTCGGCTAGGCTAAAGAACCCTCTGCTATCAGATATCTTGTCCTTGTGAAGGTACTTTTAGATCATGATCACGTCACCTCAATCTTCTCTGATAAACTAAATAGACATAGCTCCTTAAATCTCACTGTGAAGAACATTTTCTAGACACCCCCCCAAAATCTGTAGTTCTTCTCTGAACCCTTTCCCATGTTCAACACCTTTTTTACAGTGTGGACACCACACACAGTATTCTGGTAGTGGTTTCACTAGTGTCATGTGAAGACGTAATACCACCACTTTACTCTTGATCAGTATTCCTGTGTTAATATAGCCAAGTAAAAGGTCAGCCCTTTTAGCTAAAGCATCATATTTGAAAAACTCAGGTTCAGTTGTTTATCTACAGGCCAAAAGTCCTTTTCAGAGATGCTGCTTTTTAGTCTGCAGTCCTGTAAATATGGCCTACATTTTTGTCCTTAGATGTATGACCTTGCATTTGACCATATTAAAATACAAGTTTGATTGTACCTAGATTACCAAGTGATTTGATAAATCATTAGTACAGAACTATTTCATTATTTGCCAAATTAACAATCTTTGTAGAATTTGCAAACCTCAGCCATGATTTTATATCTTCTTTCAGATTGTTGAGAAAATACTGAATAGTACTGAAGCGAGATCCATTCCCTGTGGAACCCCACTAGAAACACCCTGCTAGCTGCTATTTCACAATTAACTACACAGACTATCAGACAGACAACTTCTACTCTATTTAGTTGTGTGCAATATTGATTTTGCACAATGCTAGTCTGTTTTATTTTTAAATTAGAATGTCATGTAGGAGGACACCAAATACCTTACAAAAGTCCAAGTATAGTGTATCAAGCACACTTGCAATTTTGTCAAGGAACAACATGAAGTTCATTGGACAAGACCTATTTTGTCTTGTTCATTGTTCTTCTTTAAATTTCTAGCCTTTCAAGTCCTATATCACCTGTCACTGCTCTGGGTCAAGCTCCCCTTGCTGGACACTCACCAGGCTGCTGTGTTTGGACCAACATGCCAAGTCCGTGTGCTTTTAAGCTCCCTTGGGTCTGGGTAGGTTCTAGGTGCTCAATCTTTCTTTGGTCTCTGGTTTGGTCCTGGGCATAGATTCGTTTGGCACCCTTCTCAAAAAGGCCCTGCAGCCTAGCTGCCCTAGGCCCTAAGACCAGGGCCAAATCCCTCCAAGACTCCCCAGTAGTTAAGCATACCCTCTCCAGAGCTCTACCTTAGTGGGTACTCTTATTTACTGTTTAGCTCTTCGGAGACATAGCTGAAGGCAATATGTCAGACTTTGCTGAGGGATTTCTAAACCACTCACTCTTTACTTTTAGACAACACAAGTGATATATATGCCATTCCCTGCCTTGGTTCTCTGCGCACTCCTGAGCATTCTTTGGGACCTGATTAGTGTCGTTTCAGGGGTCCAGGTCCCCTCTTCTTGACTTCAAAAAGAGAATCCTGGTTCTGGTGTGATCAGCGACCTTGTCCTTATATAGCTTTCAGTACTCTCTCTTGCAGGTGACTTACCTAGTCAGCTTCAACCCCCATCAGATGATCTATTCTTTGATTCCCAAAACATCTAGGACAGTAGGGGTTTTCCTTGTTGGTACCAGCTCTTCATCCAATGGTGTTTCCAGTTGAATAGAAGGTCATCAAGGTTTATGCCCCATCACTCTTAATCCTCTGTTAGGTGCAATAATTTATTCTGACATGTCCTGTGTTTTAGCTCAAAATGGAGGCTACAGAGCCAAGGTGAAGGCACAGAACAGTTTTACAAACAAGTAGCTTTTCAGAACAAAATGGCATTTTCAGATTATACAGATAAATCCAGACATACACTTGTCACCCATTCCATTGTTTTGCCCATGCCTGCTGTCAGGCTAATTGGTGTATCTGCAAACTTTCAATAATGATTTATGTTTTCTCCCAGGTCATTTACAAAAGTGTTAAATAGCATAAGGCCAAGAACTGATCGCTGCCCCACCCCAGTAGAAATACACCTACTTAATGTAACCTCAATAAGGATTCTTTAAAATACAGCCAGCTCTCCTGGACTCCTTTCCCCCTCATGTTATTCTCCCAGGGGATCTTGCCCATCAGTTCCCTGAGGGAGTCAAAGTCTGCTTTTCTGAAGTCCAGGGTCCATACTCTGCTGCTCTCCTTTCTTCTCTGTGTCAGGATCCTGAACTCGACCATCTCATGGTCACTGCCTCCCAGGTTCCCATCCACTTTTGCTTCCCCTACTAATTCTTCCCGGTTTGTGAGCAGCAGGTCAAGAAGAGCTCTGCCCCTAGTTGGTTCCTCCAGCACTTGCATGAGGAAACTGTCCCCTACATTTTCCAAAAACTTCCTGGATTGTCTGTGCACTGCTGTACTGCTCTCCCAGCAGATATCAGGGTGATTGAAGTCTCCCATGAGAACCAGGGCCTGCAATCTAGTAACTTCCGTCAGTTGCCGGAAGAAAGCCTCGTCCACCTCATCCCCCTGGTCCGGTGGTCTATAGCAGATTCCCACCACGACATCACCCTTGTTGCTCACACTTCTAAACTTAATCCAGAGACACTCAGGTTTTTCTGCAGTTTCATACTTGAGCTCTGAGCAGTCATACTGCTCCCTTACATACAGTGCAACTCCCCCACCTTTTTTGCCCTGCCTGTCCTTCCTGAACAGTTTATAT